CTCTACAACTTGGACTATGTGTACACTGCACCTGTACACTCTACAACTTGGATTACGTGTACACTGCACCTGTACACTCTACAACTTGGATTACGTGTACACTGCACCTGTACACTCTACAACTTGGATTATGTGTACACTGCACCTGTACACTCTACAACTTGGATTATGTGTACACTGCACCTGTACACTACAACTTGGATTATGTGTACACTGCACCTGTACACTACAACTTGGATTATGTGTACACTGCACCTGTACACTCTACAACTTGGATTATGTGTACACTGCACCTGTACACTACAACTTTGAAAAGAGAGCAAAGAATGAGGTATCTTGTCTATGATTGTAATTTAAAAAGAAGTACGTTTTCTGTTGAATGAAGAAATTAATTTTTTTGATACTTTCCTTTTGAGTTTTCCTACTAATTATAAGTATTATTACAAGTTAGAGCTTTTACAATAAGGAAGAATATTTTAATAACAGATACCGTGTTTCATTCACAAGTTTTATCAGTAAAGAAGGTTTTAAATAGTAAAACTTTACTGTTAAAATTCGACTCCATTAGAATGCTCCAACCAGTGATTGAAACACCGAATCTCATTATTTAATTTCTGTAGTGCATACTGGTATATAAAAGACATATTAATACTGGAAATAAAGACCTCATAGCACATGTTTTAGTAAACGCTCCTTAAGAAGCTGTAAAGCATAACATTGAGTGTTTAATTAAATAAAAATGATATTCTGATGTTATAAGGTCATTTATTTCCAGTATTAATATGAAACACTGTATCAAAAATATTCTTCCTTACTGTAAAAGCTGTAACTTGTAATAATTGAAAAAAAACAATTCAGATGCGAGAAGTTTTAGTAAAAGGATGTTTTTTATATTTGTGTTATTGGTAATGTAAGCTTATTATAATAGTGATAATACCATCGTGTCTATTGTAAAGTTAAAGCCCTATTAATATGTTCTCGGACATTGTTTACATACATGTCTAATTGATTGTGAAAATATAAGTTATAATTTGTGTAACTGTATTAATACACCTAATGCACATAGAAAGAAATTTTCCATTACGATCTATTTAATCATATTCTTTTTTCCTTTTTTTCTGTAGTTGAAAGTAAGTACACCTTAAAAAATATGCGAAAAAAATACTTGCGAGAAAATAATTCATTGCATGCATGTTTCTCTTCGGTATTACACATCACAGAAGAATTTATCCATATTTTCTTTTTGTTACCCTTTAGGTTCAATGTACCTTATTGTATCTTAATGTTTCTTATTCAGGCCAGCTGGTGAAGTTACTCATCCATACAGGCGTGACTCGCTACCTAGAGTTTAAAGTGGTTGAAGGGAGTTATGTCTATAAAGGAGGAAAGATTTATAAGGTTCCTGCAGATGAGAAAGAAGCCTTGGCTTCAGGTATATATATATAAAAAAAAAAATAGTCAGTTTTCTCAACTAACGTGTTAGCATTTTTGTTACATTTTTTACTAAATTTTCAGTTAAATCAAGTGAGCTTTATTATATTTTGTTACAAGTTGAACCTCTTTCAGTTACAGCTGGTTGGTCTAATTATTTTTACAACTCTGACTCACTGCTATGCGAGATTGTTTTTTAATGCTCGTATGTGTAATTTATACCCAAGGATGAGACCTTAACTACTTTAATTCTTGTATTTATATGTAAAATATTTTTCATAAAACAATGAATTACCATTAAAAAAAAGAAAAAAATTAAGTTAATCCTTCAGCTAGCAATTTTTTTTTTTTTGGTCTGAAATCTGAAAATAGATTTTATTTGTTTAAAAAAAATCTACATATTTATTGTAGATTGTACGGTTAGTTTTTGACATTTTTTAGTACACAGTGTGATTTCAACATTTCCTACTTCCTTTTATTTTACATAAATTCTTGACAAGAAAACAATCTTTTTTCTAAAGTATTTAGTTTAAAATTGTGGGTGTTCTGAATGTATTTAATGATGGTGAGGATTATAAAGTTGAAATAATGGGTCCTAAATGGATTTACTAGATTTACACACAAGCCTTGGTAAGGGTTTTATAGTTGATGTTGTGCGTGGGCTCACTTGATTTCCACGTGAATGTTGTTGATTGAAGGTGCGTATATGTAATATTTCTTCATTACGAGAAGAATTGTCTCTAATTGTGAAACATTTTACTGTTAAGTACATGTATGTTTATATTTCAGAGCATCCCTTGAAATGAGAACATTAGTTTACTCCTAATTAGTTAAGAAAACGATGTGTTAAATGGATTAATCAGAAAACACGTGGGAAATGCTGTAGACCATCGTAAAGAGATTCTTTCACTTTGACCCTTTTCATGATGGGCTTCATGCAATTTGCTGAAATAAAGTCGCAAATTTCACTAATACTGGAATGCATGTGGTAACTCTGAAATTTCTTAACTTATCCTTTCAAAAACTGGTTAGATTTTGTCAAAGATCACAAGTATCTTGTACACAAATAATAACATTATTACAGTTAAGTGTTTTTACTTAGAGTATGTTATTTTTCTATTGTATTTACTTGCATTCAAACAATTAACAAATGCAAGGTGATTTTTCATTTTAAGTATAAAAATACTTTACTTCATCTTATAGTTTCATATTTCATTTGCATAATCTCTATAACTTCCTAAAAGGACATCAAAAGTTTTTCTAAGATAAATGTTTATACATTATTTTTCATTTTCTTTATCATATCACTAACTCTAGCTATTATCATTAATGAAATGATTAAAATTAGGAAATAAAAAAACAAAAACATATCTTTTCATTTTTTTGTTGAATATCTTTAAAGATGTTGTTCTGCTTACAGTCCTAATTTCGGTTGTTTTCACATATATAGTAAATTTTTAATGTTTTATTTTCCATTCTTGTCCTTTCTATTTATTGTTCATCTTGACACAATTCAGTGGTGTCCTCGAGGCTTATTACAGTTTATTTGGATTGTTAAGCAATGTTTCCTCGTGCCTTTTTTTCTTTTCACAAGTTGCCTATCCAACATGCAAAGTAATTTTCATTTTAAGATTAAAAATAGTTTTATGCATCAGAAAATTTTGAAATTTCACATATGAAATTTTTATAATGTCCAGATAGTTATCACACGTTTCTTAAGAAAACAACTATATTTTATTTGTTATTTTCACTAATGAATCTGTACGGGTTCGGTAGATTTGACCAATCTTGTAACCACCATAAAAAAATTAGGAAATAAATATAAGTTATGCCTCTTTTGATCTAGAATGTAAGAAATTATAACACAAAAACATAAATGTTTAGACTAAATAGCTTAAATCTCATAACATTATACATTTATATATATTTATTATTTTGACCTTTCAGCCATTCCTGACTAACAATACAGAAGTTACGATGCCATGGCACACATGCTCTCATGTTACCGTATTCAATAATATAAAACTGACCTTTAGTCTTTACAAAGTGTCCTGTCATGGCTGTGTTTTAGTAGACTAGTATTTTGTAAAATACAGTCACATTTCAATTATTATACATTATATATGTATATAGATTATTGCTATTTAGAAATAAGTTCTTAAACTTATTTTTCTTAAAACAAAGAACAGTAAATAAAGAAGTAAAGCGAACAATTATCTCTTCTAGTTACAAGTTTGTACTTGGTTTCTGCTTGACGTAGGTTGCTAAGCCTTTTAAAATTTTGCATGTGGATGATATGAAATGAAATGATATTTTTTAGGTTTTAGGAATAACAAAAAAATTATAAATTACTATATTAATACCATAGAATTCCACTATAATCTATCAAGCTTATTTGGGTCTAAAAAAATATGAAATTTTGAGCAGACTTAATACACAACCTACCTTCTTGAAATCTTGGTTCGAAAGAAAGAGATGGCATCCTAACACATAAAATGGCTGAGAAAGACACGAGGGGGACATTCTGTTGGTTATTCACAGGTCATATATTGAAGTAGGTGTATATAAGGGACCTTTTCCAAAAATGGAAAGAGGTGGGCAGGGTCACTGTGTTTGATTCAGTACGCGTATCAATATCTCAGCAAATGGAAAAGATATGAGGTTCTTATTTTATATTCTAGCTTGTCAATATCGATAACTTGAGTTCCTAATTCATAGGAAACTATAGACTTAGTATTTTGACGTCACAAACATCTAATTTGAACCAGTGCTGCGTTCAACATACCACATGACACGCAAAAATCAATATTTAACTGTTTTTTTAATATTCACTTTTAAATTAAGAAATTAAATAATGTATAATACTAAAATTTGAATTATAATCTACAGTTTGAAACCATACTTGTTGACATAAATTCATAAAATAGTAGGTAAATAAAATTTTGAATGCGAGTCAACAAATGATATAACATAGCCTTTGACCTGTGACCCATCTGGAGAGAGTTAATTATGCATTTTAAAGCATAACTAATACATAATTAACTAAAGTATAATAGTAAGACCTAAATACAATTTAACTGTATCTCAAACTATAACATATTTATGTAGGAAACAACCATACATGCTTTAGTCGATCAAACAGCCAACCATACTATAGTCAGTTTCATGTACTTAGTGTTAATTTCAAAATAATCATTGTTAGATTATACTGTAAAATGAGCTCTTTCTAATGGTTATCCACATGTGTATGTAATGTCTACATGTAGGCTATAAAGCTCAATCTATTGAAGGTTATCTAAACATCTCTTTGTCTCGATGTACCTCTACAGTACTGCTGTCATGATATTGCTTATATAGTGTGTTAAAGTATAAAATTGTCATAGCTTGTTGCTCATGTGACAATACATCTGAAGTTTTTAGTAGTTTTTAAAGGTTTATTTTTATACAAAACTTTGATAAAACTTTGAATTATAATGCACATTTCACAGAAAAGCATATAAAGGGACTCCTATTGTGAAAACGGTTAATGAAGACACACTTAATATATGAACAGGGTACGAGGCAAGCATCTTTACAAAGTTAAAAAAAATTAAGAACTTAACTTAGGTTTTGTATTGATAAAGTATTTTTGGTGGAATCATAAAATTAGAGACAGCTTTCAAATTTAAACCTCAAACATCGGGGGGGGGGATGAGGTACTTGTTTTTATTCTTAATCAGATATATCTATATACGAGTTTGCTTTATAACATTGTACGTCTGAATAGAGAAGCATTGTATCATATATTTCAAAGAAAACATTTCATTTTCTTTAGATTTGATGGGTATGTTTGAGAAAAGAAGGTTTCGTAGTTTCTTGGCCTATGTTCACGAATTTGTTGTGGATAACCCCAAAACATGGAAAGAAATTGATGCAAAAACAATGAATGCAGCTACGATGTATGAAAAGTTTGGGTTAGATAATGATACTGCTGGCTTTACAGGCCATGCATTGGCCTTGTACCGAGATGATGAGTAAGTTTCCTTATTATTTTGTAATTCTAATATTAAATGTACTGGAATATAATAATGTTAGGCTAGAATACGTCTTGAAATACAATAATTGAGGAAGCTGTAATATTTTTTATCAGATAACACTTATGTAATATTGTATGAGGTAACCCTTGTGTCCTCTGTAAGAAACTGTAGTATTGTAACATTGTAATGAGAATTCTCGTGTCGTTTGTATGAAACTGTAGTGTTGTGACGAGACAACCCTTGGGTCCTTTGTGTTAAACTGTAGTGTTGTGACGAGACAATCCTCGGGTCCTTTTTGTGAAACTGTAGTGTTGTGACGAGACAATCCTCGGGTCCTTTGTGTGAAACTGTATTATTAAAAAAATCGTTTATTTTTTCTGACTTTTACACCTATAACACAACAGTTTCATACAAAGGATCAAGTGTTCTCTAGTCACACAAAGGACCCGAGGGTTGTCTCGTCACAACACTACAGTTACACACAAAGGACCCGAGGGTTGTCTCCTCACAACACCACAGTTTAACACAAAGGACCCGAGGGTTGTCTCGTCACAACACCAAAATACCCACATGTATAGATGCAAACAAAATTAAAAACTGTTTTTATGAACTAATTATCTCCATAAGTTTATACATTTTTTTTTTATACCTGGAAATGAAGTGTTCATTTCTTATACATTTCTGATGAACTCCAAACTTAGGTACTCAAATCTTTTTAAAGAATGATACTATAGGTTCTTGTGGGAAATATTTATCAGTCATGGTAGAACTTCAACATAAAAGTGTGTATTGATGGAAAATAGTGATTAAAATAAAAAAAGCAAACTAAGTATAAATATACATGACCACAAAATAAAGTACAGGTAGCAAGAAATTATACAGATGGTCATTTTCTGTTTGTTTTATAAACAGTAGTGGAAATTTACAGGATGAACTAGAATTAACTGTCATGACAAGTTTTATTTTTGTAAACTGTAAACAAGTAGATGTTTCAAAGTATTTCTTTCACAAATATTCACTCGAATCTTGGACATGCATTAAGTCTTTAGGTTTTAAACTCTTGAAGTTTGACACCTAGTGGTGCTTATAAAGAATTTTAGTGTTTTGGGGAGAATTGTGATGTTTCCAAATCAATAAAACCATGGAATTTTTTAATTGTCTTTGTGTTGATGTTTTAAATAATAATTTTTAACATTTGAAAATGTGAATTATCACGCTTTTAATATCTTCTTTAGAAATAAAAGCCAGTGATGTTTGCTAATTGTAAAATTTAAATACCATCGTAGAAACCAGCCTTATTATGAAGCTTGTTAAAAAAAAACATTCTACTTTAGAAAACAATTCATTATTTTTTGGAAATTTTATAGTTCAACAGGCCTAAAGTATTTGTTTGAAAAAGACTTGGAAATTTAGAAGATATTGTACACTAAGCCTTAAATATTTTAATCGAAAAGAAAGTTAAGTATTTTTTTTTTTTAATGAGATAAACACGAGGCTTGGATGGTTGGAATAATCAGAAACATTAATTTCTATTGGTTGATTATTCTCATGACTCATGCCACTGTTGTAGATATTTTACTGACTTGAAATCTGACCAAAATATCATAGAAAAATTCAGTTTTTGGTATTATGCTTTGATATAAAAGTTTCATTTTTAATTTAGGCTTACCACTAAACAGGATTTTTCCAACATTTAGCTGAATAACCCAGAAAATTCTACTGTCTTTATGAAATGTAAACAGTTTTGTTTAAAAAAAAAAAAACATATTTTTTATATGTTATAAGCTACGCTATGTATTTTAATACACGTAAAACTAGCAATATGTCATACAATCATTTAAAAAACTTTTGTACTTTATTTCTTAATGAAAGGTGTCACTAAAAGCTTTTTACTTCGTTTCTTCAGAACTTCTAACTTGCATTGTACTTTAATGTTGTTTTATATTTTGTAGTATGAATATATTAAAAAGAAATGCAGTTTTAATTTACACAGATTTATGCACAGCATGAACCATTTTATTCACAAGTCATTTTAACACCATGTAATTATAGCTTGTATATCACAGTTTTTGTAAAACATTTAGTGTATAATACAGTAGTGTTCAGGAAATTGAAAGTTAGAAGAAACATTCAACATAAGATTACTAATAAACATGGATTTAGTAACTACAAGTATTGTTGCAGTTGTAATTAGTACTTGGAAAACAGGCAGAAAAGAATTAAAAAAAGTAGGTGTTGAATAAGTGTATGTATGACTTGTTTCTTTGAAGCTTCATAATTTTTAGACATTATTACTATAAAAAAGTTTGAGTATGTTTTTTAAAATGATTTAAAAGCTCACCATGTTGTTACAGTCCTTGTCATCATGCCTGGCCATTCTAGTTTTGACACCTGTACATCTTGACAATAGCTGTGCAGTGTAGCTTCCATTGTAAAAAGTTCATTCGTAAGATTGTCATTTCCGTAGCTCACCACTCCTTCCTGCTAGCTTTCCATAATCCATCTAGTGTAAAAGGGTGAAGGTTTCCCAGTACCTTTTTCAACAGTTGTATCAAACAGAAATACATAGGCACTGCATCCCATGACTTCATCATTCTCCCAGCTTCTTGAGGTATGTGACAGTTGAGCAAGAAATATGATTGAAAGCCTTATTTAGGAAAACTTGTATCCTATTGGGCTTAATTCCAGAGGGAAATCCTTTGTGATTACATTAAGTACTGTTGTTTCGGTTACATGGACTTTTATTTTTCCACTGATATTTATGGATTCTAACCTGGTACAAGACACTGCACTTTACTTACCACTACTGGGGTCTGACTTTTTGGAAGCCTCTTTCTAAATGGTCCTGGTGCCCCAAGTTGATCCATTTTTGTTTGTTTCCCCTACCATTAATTAAGGGATATCCATCTTGCTGATTCTAACTCCTCTTTCTGAACAAATCTTTTAATATTTGAATATGATTTGTTCATTTACATATCAGAATTGTACTCAACAACTTTCTTTAAACATTATGAGCATTTCTCCAACTTTCACGTATAATGTATTGGGCAGTAGTCGGATTAAGCTGCATTGTATTTATATGACAGTGTAGTATACATTTCAGTTTTCTGAAGTATTCAAATGATTTATATAATTAAATAAGAAAATGTATGATGTAAAAATGCAGTAGTTTTGTGGTTCCGAAAAGAAATTGTGAACTTGATGAGTTTGGTTTTTGTGTGCTGTGTTTCATCAGATTGATAAACTGGGTTTGGTTTTATGTGATATTTCATCAAATTGTCACGGTTGATTTGTTTGGTTTTTGTTTCAGTTATTTGATCAAAACGTATGGAAATTCAGTTTGTCACTGAATGTTTAAAGATAGTTTTAGACATACTTGTGGTAAAAAATGAGTTTTGAATAGGTTTATTTTCTTTGTTCATAATGCAAGTCATACATGCAGGTGTAACTAATTGAAAAGAAAGCCTACAGATATGTTACTTGTACATAAATTAACAATAAAGATCCTATCTGGGGGTAATCAAACTTTAAAACAGTTCCGTGTTCTATAAGACATTTGTCTAAATCAAATGTAATCCTGATAAATATGGAAATGATGCATAGTTGAATGTTCTTAGTATAATTATTTTTCCAAACCATAAAAATTTTAACTGTCTCGAATCTTCAAAACCATGTGACCTTTAACAACTTAATGCATAAATATATATCACTTGTGGTAAGGTTAGGCCAATCCAAACACTACACATGTTAAGGAGAGAGAGATTGAAAAGCTATATGTTTAGGAGAGGTAACAGTTATCCATGTGTTTTAGTAAAGACAGTGGACAACCACATGCTTTTACTAAAGGCAATGATCGGATTGCTAATGATTATTTTTTGGTCAATTTAGAACTTAGAAGTAAAACAGTATTCTTTACATTTCAATATAATTAATGGATTTGATTGAGCATGGTAAATTGGGTACACGTCTATCAAGCTTAAACGTCTATCAAGTTTAAACACTTCCTTCTGTCACGTCTATCAAGCTAGTTTAAACACTTCCTTCTACTTTCTTCTGTCACATCTATTAAGCTAGTTTAAACACTTCCTTCTGTCATGTCTGTCAAGCTAGTTTAAACACTTCCTTCTGTCATGTCTGTCAAGCTAGTTTAAACACTTCCTTCTACTTTCTTCTGTCACATCTATTAAGCTAGTTTAAACACTTCCTTCTGTCATGTCTGTCAAGCTAGTTTAAACACTTCCTTCTGTCATGTCTGTCAAGCTAGTTTAAACACTTCCTTCTACTTTCTTCTGTCATGTCTATTAAGCTAGTTTAAACACTTCCTTCTGTCATGTCTATCAAGCTAGTTTAAACACTTCCTTCTGTCATGTCTATCAAGCTAGTTTAAACACTT